TTTAACAAAGCAAAACATAAAGTCACAATTTGGTATACGAATCGATGTAACATTTCTTAATATGCTAGGTTGTTTTTTGTTTTCACTCCATTTTAAGGGGGCTCTCTACAACGTCACAACATGACGTACTTCCGTTTAAAAGCCATTTTGGTCCCAAATGATCTAATTCAAATTCACTTAACACCGATAAATCACTGAGTATAACACACATGCGATATTATGTATGGAATGTAGATTGTATCACCTCTATCGATACATGTATAGTGTGTTGCCCATTATATATCTTTTCTTTAAAAATGAATTGTTTAACTTATTCAATTTCTAATTATTTAATAATATACTTACAAACTTATTACAGGAAGATTTTTATGTAAGAAAAAATGATATAAAACATTGATTGACCATATGCTAATTCATCATTACGTATCAAAACGCCATACACTCCGAATTTTTTTTTCTTCAATAAACATATAAATTATGCTTTCCAGCAAATTATATCCCCTCCAAAAAGCAAATTTGATAAGATAACTACACTGGATATTAGTGTTCTAGTTTGCTTTGTTATTTTCAGGTAACTGAAAACTTTAAGTATAAAATATATTTAAGATGAATGTTGAGGTTTAAGATGACTGAATGAAAATTTAATACTAGAAATAAACCATGAACTGTATACAGGGAAATTTTCACCCCGTTTTATTTTCGACCCTTTCGACCTAGCCTCATCTGGGCGAAATTAAAACGGGGCGAATTCATATAATACAGTATAAGTACTTAAATAAAACTTTGACAGGGCCAATCTTAAACGGGGAAAAATTGTCTGCAAGTGTGAAAGGGCGAAAATAAAACGGGGCGAAAATATCCCTGCATACAGTATGTGAGAAAGAAATATTTTGCATTTTGAAAATTCATTCTGATATATTTTTATCTTCTCATTTTATATATTTTAAATACTCTACATATTAATCTTATTTAAGGACAGATGATACAAACAAATTTTAAGGACAGCTAAAAAAATATACCAAGCCAGGTAAATTTTATGAGGAAAGCAAAATGACAAGAAATCAGCTGATAGGCTGATTTTTACCATTTTGCCTTTCCTGATAAAACTCACCTGGCTTGGTATACTTTTCGTAAGTTTACATTACACTTTTAGCACCAAATGAATGTAACATGTCATCTGTGAACCTTTACTGAGTGTTATTTGTCTATATTTGCATTTTTATTGAAATATTTCGAATATTTTTCAAGTCTATTTCATTTTCCAGTTCTAAGGAGAACAAATTCTAAGAATTATCCACATTTCTGAACTTGTGACATGCTATTAAGTACGATGGCCGATATCAGCCTGTACATATTCTGACTGCTTTTAAAATTTTTACAGCTAAAATGTACATTGACATGTACAATTTGTAATGACAGTGCACACTTTGTGCTCTTAACTTTTGTTTGTACATGTACAAAATGGCAAAAAAGGCAAATGTCAAAACGAGAACGTTTGAACACATGCAATTAATTACAAATCCTGGTCGGAGAAAAACCATTAAATATGAATAAAATTGTACAAGACACCGAGAGGATGAGTTTTGCAATAAAAAGGGTACAAAAAAATAAAATAAAATGTAAAAATTTCTGTGGACATTAGATCTTAAGTTAAAACCTGTCTTCTTTTACTGAGAAGAATGAAAATTTCATAGATTAAAATCACCTTCCACAAACAGTTTTGACAATAAATTACCCCGTCCACCCCAGAAAATGATGACTGTATGGAAACTACACACGACACGTTTACACTCCTTTTCTGATCAAGAGTAAAGGAAAGTTGCAAAGGCCATTATAACTGGTTTCCATGAGTAAGAGTCTAACCATAATATAACGTAAGATTAAATTGTAATCTAAACTGTAACCTTTGACCTACATTTGAAAAACTTTACATTGTGTTTCATAAAGTGTACAGTAATTTTCCATAAACAATACTATGTTCAAAACAAAAGGTCTTAAGTGTTTACACTTTTGCTACCCTTAAAACGTCTTACAAGTGTACACCACGTCCAACTCGGCCCCCAGAATCGTGTTACCATTGGTGGCATAGTGTATCACAAACACATCTTGTTTTATTTGTTCAACTCTTTGTTGTTATACAATTTTATGCATATTTAATGGTTTTTTGCCGACCAGGATTTGTAATTAAATGCATATGTGTTTCAAACGTTCTCGTTTTGACATTTGCCTTTTTGCCATTTTGTACATGTACAGACAAAAGATAAGAGCACAAAGTGTGCACAGTCATTGCAAAATGAACATGTCCATGTACATTTTAGCTGTAAAAATTTTAAAAGCAGTCGGAATATGTACAGGCTTATATCGGTCATCGTAATTAAGTCTCCTCGAAAGAAAAAAATTGTTTGTAGCATCTGTCCTTAAAAGCTCTAAAACATAAAAAGAGCCGTTTTGGAAGGTAACCTGGTCCTCAATACTAGTTACAGTGGGATTGATATACTTTCTTTTTGTTATACAATTCCCACTGCAACAAGGGTTATACTTTAATTTGTGTTAAACTTATACAGTGTGTACTGTGATACATAATTATTATAAATATTGTGCAAAAATGTTTTTAATAAAATATTTTTGTATATGTATGAAAATAAAACGTCAATAACGTCAAAGATTGTGAAGGAACAATTTTTTGAAGAACCAGGTGAATTGTTATTAAGTAACATTGATTGTATCTATAATCCACTTAATTTATTTTACGAAGATTCATAATTTTGGAGCTTTGATTGATTAAAGTAAAATTGTTTCCTGCCGTCTTTTGAAAAAAAAATTAAATATTATTAATGTTAAAAATGTAATGGGCAATTGAAACTATTTATATTATTGTAAAATAGTAATTGAAAAAGACTTAACATTTCCAATAATATTTTTTATTCAATTCTTAAATGGAAATATGATGTACAGGAATTACAAGCCGAATATTGATCTGACGACTGGTGAGGAGTCAACGACTGGAGCTCCCCCTGTAAGGAAATTCTGGGCGGATGACGTCACTTCCAGAAATTCGTCATAGCAAATTTCTTTATACTCCGAAATATCTTGATACATTTGAAAAACATCTTGTAGCTCTTTTCCAAGCTCGGCCATGAGCTGCAAAAGAGCTCGCAGACCGTCGTTGTCACAATAAGCCGACAGATTCCTAACGGTGGCAATAACATCTGACTTCATTTCACTGAAATCAAAAATTCATTTAGAAAAAAAAGTAAAATTATTTTAAGGATTATTTCGAAATCAATTGTTTGTGGGCTTCTTTTAAAAAAAAAAAAAAAAAAAAAAAAAAACTTAAAAGCTATTCAAAATAATAAGGGACTTCTTTACCTGCATACGTCTGAATCGTTTCTTTTCAGTTTGCCCATCAAAGTAATGCCATCTATCACCAGGTCTTCAAAAAACATTTTCTGCACTTTGTCATTATTCATGCAGGCAATCAACTTGTCTAGCCCTGCAAATAGTTTTGTTTACAGTATGTACCTTCAAACAATTTTTTTAATTAGAATTTTTAAATATGGTTTATTTAAATTACAAAACTTACTCTTTTCTTTTATATGAGTATTTATAACATTTTTTAAATATATATTCAATTTATCTCCTGCTGTGTATAATTCCAGTATTTGCAGGCATGCTTTTGAATGTTTTGAGGAAAAATTGCTTGGTTGTGAATATTAATTTTTAAAAGTGGAAGTTGAATTTTTATAGTACAAATGGGTCACAAGAAAATCGCTTACAATAGAATTTCGGATGTAACTTTTTTCTATAAATGCATTTGAAAATGTGCATTTTGTTTCCTATATTTTTATATCATGTTATATAGAAGCAAAATTCGAGATCCAAGTGACATCATTTTACCGAATTTTCATATGTATAACTTTAATTTTGTTATACATTATATGAAAGGTTTTTTATTAATACAAAAACATGTACATGTGTTTACTTTTTACCGTTTAATGAAAAAAACGATTACGAGAGGATCTACCTGAATTTAACAATCTTTCACTTTTTTTAATGAAAATGTAATTGAATTTGGACAAGAATTTTCCAATGAGGAATAAAACATCAATTAATATCAAAATTAATGACTTCAAAATACATAACTCAAGCAAATTTTCTTTTCTCTTACATAAGAATGATTAGAAAAAATCAGAATGATAATTTTCAATATTTCTTTTATTTGAAATATAACTAAGAATTTTTAATTGCGTAATTAAAATGTCAAAATACACTATTTAAAATGTCCACCTGAAATTTGCAGTCAGAACATTTTTTTTTTCATTTCTAAAACATTTTTTTAACCGTACCTGTCAAGTTGTATTTTCGAACTTTTCACTTAAGTACCAGGTATATGGTACTAAATATTGTTGATAAAATGAACAAATTTCATGTATTATGTGAGAGAAGTAGGTAAATATCTTAGCACAGATATTTGAATTGAAGGGGGGTGATAATTTAATGATTGTTTTAAAAATCATTTTTTTTACATTGCGCTCTTTCAGCATAAATGCTTCCCACAGCGCTTTACAATACATTATTACCCCAGCAGACTAAACAATCCAGAGTCAGTGCAAGCAGCCGTTCAGGCGCTAGAACACTAACATTCTGACAATATCTTGCATTGTCTATAGCCAGATACCCCTTTTACACTTGGGTGTACAGTTGGGCGACACAACGTCCACTTGCTGCGGCCAGGATTCGAACTCACAACCTTTCGGTTTAGAGTCCGGCACCTTAACCACTAGACTACCGACGCTACGGTAAAATAATTCAATTATCCTTACTGATATTATATTTTCTTCCCTTGTTTAGCTAAGTTCAAAAGAAGAAAAAAGAAAAATTAACCCATGTTCAACCCTCCCCCCCCCCCCCCCCCGATACTTCAATTTATCTTTCAAAAAATAATCAAAGAATCTTAAGTCTTACTATAATCCTTGGTGCATACAATCCTGTCAAATGCTTCAACAAATTCCTTCACCCTTTTTTGCAACTTCTCTGGGATACATGGGTCTAAGCCACCGGGTACACAAGCCTTGTACATGTCGAGAACACTGTTTAAAACACGTAAGGTACATGTACATAATAACCTATCAAGTAAGTTTTTGGCTAAATAAATCTGAAAGGAAATGTTAGATTTTGAATTAAGTAGTATGTAAGTACTCGTTAATTTCGAACTACATTTTTGTTACACTGTAACTGTTTGAATTTACTTTATGGACAAACATTAAGAACAGTGGGGATTAATTGCAAATGGTCATTTGCTTAATTTAATAAATTTTCATGACAATTTGATTATTAAAATGACTCAACAAAGATTTAATTAAAATGAAATCGAATCAATCTTGTAAGTTCAAAAGTTGAATCTTACAGAAGATATTATTGACAATGAAAATTTTCTAAAAGATTGATTGTTTGTATGCTGTTTTACATCCCAGTCTAGAATTTTTCACTTATATCGAGATATGCCAGTGAAAGGCTTCAAATTTTGATGTTTACTCGGCACTCAATGCCATTGAGCAGGAACGGATCTTTATCTTGCTGGCACCTATTGTGCCACAGGAACTTAGTTTTTAAAATTTCTTCCGAATTACTCGAAACCTAACTGTTAAATGCCGAACGCATTACGAAGGAACAGTTGCTACATGTACCTATTTTTTTTTTCTCATTGACTTAGATCAGTCGCTACCGAGATTCGAACCCGCAACCTTCCAATCAGGGATCGAGAGGTCTACATGATGAGCTACGGTGATGGTAATTTTCTACATGACGTATAGTGCTTAAGATTTAGGAGCCTTTCTCATGGCAGTGATTTCTCCTTTGGACAGAACATTTTTTTCCAGAAAATACAATAAAATCAAGTTTATTCATGCCTGTAAAAAATGGATAAGTCTAGCCACATAAAATTTCCTTTTTATTTAATCAAATTCCTCGTTAACGTACTATAAAATTGAAAAAAGTGCAGACGTGTAGGGTTATTGGCAAAAAAGGAGAAAATTAAACATTGAGAGTCTACAATTTCTCAATAACTTGTATTTTTAACGTTTCAAAAGTGCATCATTTACAGATTATATACGTATATAATCGTACGTATTTATTAATGTTACGCAAACACGTGTTTGTGTTTGTTTATTCTTGACATCTATTGGCTGTTAGAATGGTCACCTAGTCAGGTGACATTCATATTCATAGCACGGGCTATTAGTGACCGTGAAAGAAATTTTGTATAGGGAAAGCCATTCGAAGGCTCTATTTCGTGCAGTCTGATAAGTCCAACCCATCCGCCCATTGCTTAGTTTTGAATATTATACTAGAATTATACTTTGTTGAAAATATTTATTTTCTATTTTGTAGAATTCGGACATTGATGAGGACAATAGAAAAAGAGATATAATATGTATTGTGTGTAATAATTAAACTGCGCTTTCAGAGCGCTTCATATCCTATTCCACGAGTTTGTGTTTATTTCATAAATGTTTTATGTTCGTTTGAGTGAAACGAATAAGAACATAATCGGATAGACATTGTATACACTATTCGAAGTTTATTATTTATTTGTCTAAGATTTCTCCGGAAGAGCATTGGATGGTCGAAAAAAAGTGGTTTTCAAACAGTTTATATCTTTACTATTGCTAAAAAAATAACATATTCTTAACTTAACTTATTCTTCTTTGAACGTGAGAGCGGCATTTATATTAGTACAAATATTTGAATTTCGGGGCGAATATTTTTTCTTATTAGACGGAAAGATATATTTTCTTCCCTTCGTTCAGTTCAGGTCAAAAGGAAAAAAAATCACACCTTTCAAAAATATGTAAGCACGATTTTTTTCTCATAACATTTATCAATCTTTCTTTATTATATTTTTTTTTGTGTGTGTTGTATTGAATTATTTCAAATTGCAAGAGTATTGAACTTAGCAGAGTAAAATAAGGTTGCTTTAATTTTTTTAAAAAAGTAATAAATACAATTTGTGATTAAACAGCAGTTGAGTCTGTACAATTTCAATTACAATAATATCCAAGTACATTTACTCACTTGCATCCAAAGCTAAAGAGCCCAGGTTTAAAGTGAAGTCGTTTTCCCTCTGGAGTTCGTATGAAGGTGATTCTTTCACTGAATTCTTTACGATAATTAACTTTACTCGCTAGACACACTTTTGTAGGACATCGAGGAAGAATCCCGGCTAGAGATAAAATAAAGGTAAATTTTAGTATTTAAAGAGTTTGTTTATGCTACATCTGAGAATTTCCCTAATATTTAACGTAACTCAAAAGAATCCTGCATTTTGCTGGACAGAGAGAGAGAGAGACGGAGAGAGCGACTCACCTTCATATAAGTCCACATAGAGTGTTGCAATAAAAAATACAGAGAAAAATCGAAAAGGAATCATTTCTAGATATTTTTATATGTCTTCTCGGCAGACCTATGTAATTTAACAACTGTTTATCTACCTTTAAATACTACAGTGTATCTTGGGTTATCAAATATGGAATGCAATGAGAAAAAGCGGCAATAACTGATTGTTCTTCATAATTGGACAATTTGAAGGCATTTGCTGCAATCATAATTGAAGCTTTTATCCCCCGCATTAACTTGAAAATGAAATATCTACTTTCATACGTAGACTGATATGAAGATTTGAATATATATTGTAAACTTTAAAAGCAAGTCATGCTAGAAAAAGGGTACGTTCTGTCACTACTTAACATGAAAATAGGTTATCGAAATGTATATATAGTAATATCAATTAATCAATCAAAAATTCTCTAAAGATGTGCTACATGAGCATAAATATTTCATTTTACTTTTTAAAAAGATTTTGTAGTATTTTAACAAATGTAATGTTAAATATATAATATATTGTAATGCATTTATACGATGTTTTTGTACTATAAATAGCCACTTTATCAATATTTCGAAGAATCTCGGAAATATTCTATTTGATGATGAAATCAGAAGCAACTGAATATTTATATATATTTATGATGTATAAGTATCCATTATAAGTCAAGTTTTTGCTGATTCTGAAATGTGTACAAAGTGAATAGGGGAGCACCAATTAGACATTGTAAACCCAAGAACTCGCCATCTTGAAGAAAGGCTATATATACATGTTTAACTGTTTCACGTTTTATTTAAAACAAACACCATCTTTAATGCATGTAAAATCTACGTTTGCCAACATATCTCTGGTAAAAATATCTCGAAAAAATGTTTTTAAATCAGCAAATTTTCAACGATCATGAACTATATTTGACTCTGACGCCAAATAACTTAAATTTCACCAAATTTCAAATTATCATTATTTGTATTCGTCATAAATTGGTTTACAAATTGAAATAAAATGAACCGCAATTATTTATAGTTGTACACATCAAATGAAATCTGCTTAATTAGACAATTATTTATTCATTCTCTCTCAGTGGAATTTATTCAAAGTAGCTAAACTAAAGAAATAGAAATGGAAATATCTCAAAATAGAATCCTATACTTTGTATTTTTTTCTCCAAAAATTAAATGTTGAGTTTCTTTCGAGTGTCAATTCATCAAAATAACATTCTTTTTTTTTTTTTTTTTTTTTTTTTTAACATCTAATGCAGTTTATGTCTATGCTGCATATACCATGATATTTTCCTTTCTTTTTTTTTTCTCTTTGATAACTCTTAGAAAGTTATGTGATTTGATTTCTTGATCTTTCTGTCGGCATGTAAAGGATGATATCTGACACAACTGCTATCTGGGGTCCACTTTTCTACGAGGAATAATATTTAATATACAAAGATTTTGATAGTTTTCAAACATGAATAAATGTTACGCATTTTAAAAAGTTTCAATAGTTCCGACATGAACATTTTAATTATAAGGAATACTGCACTATCCATGATTTTTAGACAATATCGTACTATTGACAAGCAAGTTGATGAAACAAGAATATCAGCAGTCTCGTTATTTTTTAAAGTCATCATTTCGTAATTTCTATGGTCGATACGATGATCTTGTCAGGAAATACAATTTATCATTAAGTCAAATGCTGACTGACGTTTTTCATACTTATTGTTAGTCCATTATTCATACATGAATTGACGACGGATTTTTCTATCATTTCCCGATCATGACAAGGAGCATGCGGGTGTGACCGGTCAGCAGGAGGTACTCACTCCTCCAGGGCACCTGATCCCACCTCTGATTTTTAGAGGTCCGTGTTTGCTCTTCTCCTTTTGTATTGGTTTATGGACTTTAAAATTGAATACTGTTCGTTTTCTCTATACCCTTCTTCTTACCCTATCGTGGCAAAATCCGGCCTGGTTTGTGACAATATAATCTTGTATGAAATTAGACTAGGCGGTCTTAGTACAATAGAGGGATATGCATGTCCGAGGAGTCTACCTTGTATGACTATTGTTATTATTTCGCACATAGTTTATTTACTATTACTACTATTACTATATGGTTTACTACTTGTTTACTTTTTTATCACAGACACGTGGTTTAGATCAATTTACATTTATATCTTCCTCTACATTTCAAACTTTTATAATTGTTAGTCAAGTCTGTTTATACTTAAAAATGTCTGTTTCTATTTGTTTTTTGTGAGATACTGGGCAAAAAAAGTTAAGGATCATCGAATAAAATATGTTTAAAAAATACTGTATCAAAGAAAACAAAATGCAGGTTTAAATTTAGTATCATATTTTGTATTTAAAACGTAAAAATTAAACATTGGATGTGATAAATTTGTTTGAACACACGCTACAAATTGTTCATTACGGTCACTTTAGAATTCGGCGTGTTAGTAGTAGACCTGAAAATATTTTTTTTTCAGAAGAGTCAAATTACATCACTAAAATGATTGCCAGTATTTTGTATGACCTCCTGCGAGGTGCTGCAGCACAGACCGACGCTGCCCAGCAGCCGTCCAAGGTTAGCCTGAGGGATCTGTTGCCATTCCTCCTGCAATGCTGTCTGAAGCTCCCGTCGATTTTGTGGAAGTGTATGACGAACTGAAATGCGTTGCTAAAGAATGTTCC